GGGGAGGGGAGGGCACGCACCAGCGCCACTGGATGTTTTCCGCGACCAGATCCCGCGTGGGGAGATTGAACACCCGGCCGTCGAAGTAGAACTGCCCGGAGCGCAGCGCCGCCAGTGCCTCGGGGCTGGACTCGGGGAAGTCCTCGCGGCCGAGGTGGAAATTGAAGCGGGCCGCCGCGTAGGAGGCCATCAGCGATGCGATCTGCGGCACGTGCGCGCGCGCACATAGGTCAGCGTGCTTGCCTGCGGTCAAGCCGAAGCGGGGGCGAGGGTGCGCGTGGGATGCGCATGCGTAAGCACCCCGCCCCTCCACGGAGCGGGATCAAGCTGCCGGAGGCATCCGGCCGCGTGCTGGCGGTTGAGGGGGGGGGGGAGAGACACAGCGAGAGAGGGGCAGGAGGAAAGGAGGGGGAGCAGCCGTAGCGGACCTTTTGCACGCTGCCGCGGTAGGGGACATGCCCGGCGCGCGAGGGCGGCACCGCGGGCGCGCAGCCCCCGATGCACTGGCCGCCCGTCAACGGGACGGGCCCAGGGGGATTGCGGGGGCCAGCGGGCGCCGGCGCCGGCGCCGCCGGAGTAGCCTCGGCCGTGGGCGCGGGGGCCGAATCCGACGCAGCCGCATCGGTGGCGGCCCGGCCGGAGCCGAGCCCGCAGCCGGCGCAATAAAAGACCCCTCCCGGGATGCCGACCTCCGGGAAGACCAAGCTGATCTCATCGGTCTGGGTGTAGGCGAAGACCGCGCGGAACTCCTCCAGGCAGTCGGCCGCCGTCAGGGCCATTGCCCGGAGGAACCCCGGCTCGAAGGGCTCGCGGAATTGCCCCTCCCTGGCCAGGGTCCCGAAGGCATGGCCATCGAGCCGCACGATGTACGGCTGCGCCGGGTCCAGGGCCAGGTGCGTGGCCGCCTCGAGGCCCAGCATCCGCAGGCCCACCGGGTCGGTGGTGACGCGCTTCTGGGCGTTGCGGCTGAGGGCCTCACCGGACATTGGGGGCGTACGTGCGGGCGCACGGGCTCCGCTGTGTGTGTATGTGGGGGGGGGGAGATAGAGAGCGCGCGCGGCGCGGTGGGGAGTAGGGGGAGGCGAGAGCAGGGGGCACGGGTTGGCAAGGGGCAGAGGAAGCTCGGGG